TGGACTCAATTTGCACTATTTCTGGCAGTCTGCAACCCCCCGTAGTAGGTCAAGGGGTAGTAAATGGCCAGCTGTAGTATAGTTATGCCTCCAGAACTACTACGCTATGGTGGATTGTACAGGACTTTAATCAAGAAGATTAGTTTATTTTCTCCCTAGATAGTCATTCCCTTGCTGTTCTACTTTTGCTTGTTCTTGGACAAAATCTGACTCCCTTCTGTGCAAACCATAATAGTTTTTTTCCCACTTGTCCTGGTTTCAGACAGAGATCATGTATGTATTAGAATGCTTTGCTGTTGAAACTGATATTTCATATGCTGTTTGTTTCAATACATATGATTTGGGAAATATGCCAAATCAAATTTTTGGGTGATGTGGAGGAGTGGGAGAGGTAGACTAAGAGGAGAAAGTCTAGTGGGATTTTATTTATAAAGGATATCCTCTCCCCTTCCCCCTCCCTCACTTCTAAGTTCAGAAAATTGGTCTTTGGCAGAAAACAAAGAATCTCTCCCCCATTCTAAAGTTGTGTTTTAAAAAAAATTCCTCTCCTCTCCTATAAACGTCACACAAGTTCACACTTCAAAGACTCTTCTTTTGGTATCTTTCCCAACATGTAGCATTATAATGATGTAACCTGCAATCCAGTAAATTATACATTAAGCATCAGAACCAAACACTCTTAAAATACATTCAAAGGATACTAAATGTATCTTGTGCATTCTTTACTAACTCTGTGCTATCAAGTAATTGATACACATCCCACAAAGTATCTAAAAATACCCAGGCCATCTAAGAAATGACTGCAATTTCTTTTACTCTTTGTAGCTGATGACCACAGAAGCAATTTAAAGATCTAGCTATGGTACCATTCAGGAAGTTAAGATGTGAGGCCATGTCCTATAATTCTAGTGCTTGTGTTGCTTTCACATAATGCCAAAAATTAGAATAAATTCAAGAATAAAAAGGCAATACTCCAGTACTGTGTGCATGTTGCTCAGTTTTTCTAATGTAATCAAGCAGAACAATTTTTAAAAATGGCAACTGGATTAAATATGAAGAATCTGAACAATGAACTGTTTTTCTTGTTGTTGTAATTGCAACAATAAAATTTAAAGCACAGCGGCCAGTAAAATAAAATTATTATGTTGCAAATGTAATATAATGTATTAAGAAACCATTGCATTTTTATTCTGTACAGTAAAGCCAGTGGTTCTGCTTGGCCATAAAACAAACAAACAAGCAAACAAAATGTCAACATGTGTTGAAATGGAGAAGGCCACAATTTTATTGGCTGCAGCTGCAGCATGGGTCAAGATCCAGGCATCAGCTCACCTACCTGCTGTCTGAGGAGAAGCTCTTGCAGGATATATCTGGAATGACAGATATAGGATTCCCCATGGGCACAAGCCACTACATGGTTCCCCTGCCTTTTTGGAATGAAGTAGAGTTCAGACACCCTAATGCTGAGCATGGCCTTCACTCT